TTTCATTCTAATTTTTTGATATACACAATTTTCACAATTGAAAATAAGAGGTCTATGTATTGAAATTCTCTCGCCATATGGTAGATTAATTATTACTAGCCATTTTAAAGAAATTTGATTAATTTTCAAGAACCTTACTTTGATACAAATTGTTAGAAGATATGGTTTATCAAAGAGGAGGGTGAATTAGATATTAAAAAACTTATTTCTAAATCATCTTCATTTAAAGAGTTTTCTAAGACTTTTCAATGAAGTCTATTGATATATTGTTGTATATAAGATATGTTGTTGAGATTATCTTATACATGCAATATCATATTCAATTAGTCTTATATGCAATGTTCATATCTCAAGTCACACAATGTTAAACATATAATCATATATGCATGAATGTAAAGATTGGTGTATGGATAGAAAAATTGTATAACAAATTTATACCAATTCAATCACATCCACTTGTGACCTACATTCAGTTTTCAATAAACCTAATTGAGATTTTTTAACTAATATTTAATGTTAGAAGTTTTATAATCATAATACCACATACAATTTACTCCCACACAATTAAAGAAATTACTTAAATCCAAAAAAGCACTATCTTGTAGCATTCCACTACAAGATTCTCTTTTCCTAAGAAACTTACTTAAGATAACTAGTTATAAATATTAAAGAACAGATTCACCTGATATACAAAACATTTCAGACTAAGTGAATCAAACCAATGTAGCTTAACCTATATCTCCAATAAAGATGATGATGATCAATTCAATTATTGAATCCTTCCACAAAAGGTATCAAACCTCTTCTTGTAAAAAATAAATATCTTTCTGAGATTATTTTCAAAAGTAATATCACAAAAATTCAAGTTCACTAGGTTATGAACGTGAAAAATGATATATAGAATTTTTTGACAAATATAATTTGAATATTTTCATTCATAATCGATTATTTTGTTCTTCGCAAATCTATAAATCAACCAAGAATAGTTTAATCAATTATTTTGAGTGATAATTGATTATTCCAAAAAGTTGTTTTTGAAATAATCAATTATTTTGCTGAATAATCAGTCATTACAACATAGTTTCTCATGTTATTGAAAAACAAAGCAAATCTTAAATAAAAATTTAATATCTCAATTTTTCATATAAGTCCTCCTTTCAAATTGTTAGAAAACATGGTTTATCCAAGAGGGGGATGAATTGAATATTAAATTTTTTCTTTCTAAATCATCTTGGTTTAAAATCTTAGAATAAAACTTTCTAATGAAGTATATTGATATATAGTTTTACATAGGATATGATGATCAAATTATCTTATACATGCAATATCATATTCAATTAGTCTTATATGTGATGTTCATGTTTCAAGTCATATAACATTAAATATATAATTAGATTTGCAAGAATGTAAAGACAGAGGAATACAAAAAAATGCACAACAAATTTATATTGGTTCAGACACATCCACTTGTGACCTACATCTAATCCCTAATCAATCCAATTGAGACTTTTCATTAATATTTATTGTTAGAAGTTTTACAATCACAATATCACATGCAATTTACATCCACACAATTAAAGAAACCACTTTTTGTACCTCAAGAAACACTATCTTGTAGCACTTAACTACAAGATTCTCTTTTCCTAAGAAACTTACTTAAGAAAATTAGTTACATAGATTAAAGAACGGAATCACTTGGCATACAGAACATTTCAGAGTAGGTGAATCAAACTAATATAGCTTAGCCTACATCTCCAATGAAGATGATGACGATTTATTTAATTCTTGAATTCTTTCTTGAGGTTCCCACAAAAGGTATCAAACCTCTTCTTACAAACAGAAATGTTTTTCAAAGATTATTTTCAAAAGTAACATCACAAAGATTCAAGTTCATAGAGTTCTAAACGCGAAATGATATGTAGAGTTTTCTGATAAAAATAATCAATTTTTTTTCTTCACAAATCTAGAAATCTACCAAGAACAATTTAATCAATTATTTAGAGTGATAATTGATTATTCTAAAAAGTTGTTTATGAAATAATTGATTATTTTATTGAATAATCGATTATTATGGGAAAATTTATTAGGTTACTGAAAAATAGAGTAAATAACCGATTATTACTTAAGATAATCGTTTAAGTGAAAACTTAATATCTCAATTTTTCATACTTGTCCTCTTTTCACATCACTTTTAAAGCTTCTTTTTATCATCAATCATCATCTAGATAGAAATTCAAAGCTAAGTTACATAAAAAACACAAAGCACACAAGCAACAAAAACTTAAACACATAACAAGATACAATTTGTACTTTTATCACTCAAGAGGCTTATATTTGTAATCATTAAAACTAATTTCAACTTATCTTCATCTTGAATTTGATCAACGTTTCCAACAATACATTCATGGAGTCAAGTAACAACATGAGCATGACAAAGTTGTTACAGGTGATAAATTATAGTGCCTTCTATTTTTTGTTAGTTTTTTATTTGTTAAATTACTTTTGTAAAATGGGGTATACATATATGTATATTGGCATAACTGTCTAACATTGGACATGGACCAAATGATGTTACCAATTCTCAAAGCAAAGAAGGACAAAATGATCTATGAAGTAATTTTGTCATATTACTCTTAGAGAATTTTTATAAACATTAAGTTGTTGGTTTAATGATTCTAATTTAAAATTTTTGGTTTCATGTATTCTTCTAACTTGTGTTGCAAGTATACTATTGCAGTTTAGATGTTTTTCTTGGCCTTGTGTTGTAGAAATAAATTTATCACTTTATTATATAATCTTAGAACAAATAAGAAATTCATTTGATGTTAATGTTAATGCAAAATAAAAATTATAATAATGGAATAATCTTCTATCCTTTTATTATTATTGAAATTATAGTACATCAGTACAAATTTACTAATTCAAGGTTGACTTTTACAATTGAGTAGTTTACAATCTTTACAAATCAAAAATGTATTTTAATCTTCAACGTGTATGTATAGTTGAAATTCAGAATCTAATGCATCCTTGTGTGTTTTTAGTCTTGGTCAAGCTTTGTGTTTGGCTGGGGATCTACTGATTTGAGGTTGTCCAACTATAGAAAAAATGTTAGAAATTAGATAAAAAGAGAGGGAAAATGTACATATAAGATATTATAATGACAATGGAAAAGAAAAGAAAAAATAGTGAAACTTATATAAAAATATTATATAAGCTACATTAATTCACTACTGATATTAATTTCAATGAGTGTTGTAGGTTGATTGCGCCAACAGGCATGGGAGCTTGTTGGAAGTGGTTTGGGTTCTCACTCTTGCATGTCATTATTCTCTATGAATCCACCTGGGTTACTCAACTCAAAGTGATAATTCTACTTTCTTGTTGTAGTATTTGGGTCCAAGAGCTCCAAGTAGTAGCAGAACATACAACCATTGAATTAACGAAAAGGACAAGCTAGGTTCGCTTTCAGAAGTGTTTGTTGGTCTTGTAGGCCTCAAATACAATGTGGTAGCAACAAAGTCTGGACCAGCAATTTACGAATGACATATATTGTTTACATCCTACCAACTTAGTCTTGAATGGTAATTATCATACCTAGTGAGATTTGATTACGTGTCTGTTACTAAAGTATAAAACCAAAAGCCTATTTGTACATCTCCTTTCTATAGGCTTGCTCATGGTTGATAATTGCTATTGAACTTCCCCACTCAAGGTACTAACTATACCATTAAATTTCTCTAATATAAATGTGGTGCCTTCTATTAGTTCTAAAGCAAAAAGGCAAAGAGTGATTTAGTTAGTGGTTTTTAAGTCGATCGAGCTGAAGTTACAACTAGGGTTCCAAGCCATGAATGTTTTTTGCGACTAATGTATATGGAAATCTAGTTAAGAGTAAAACAAATAAAGTGATTTGAAAAGAGTAGCTTCGATAAATAGGAGCTATATGTAATTCTATTTTCTTACAATAGCTTAGTTTAATGTAAATAGATTGCTTTGATTCTCATTGCAATGTTTTATGGTAGACCTTTCTAGATTTGGTGTAAGTTGTAATTAATGTTAGATTATAGAGTTTGATCTAAACATATTTCTTAGTAAATTGTAAATTAATATGTCTTTGTTAATGTAATTAGATGTCCAACATTCATGCACTTGAAATGTAAGCACATGCCAATGAAAAATCAAACACCGATAAATTATTATTTGAAAGTGATTTTAAGAATTATTATTTGACAATAGTATTTTTAGAAATTCTTTTAGTTTTATATTTAATTTAATTTTTATTTATCATAATTATTTGTAACTCAAGTTTTAATATTTTAAAAATATCAATAAATATTTAAGTATTATGAAGTATTATCAACACATTTCTCTCATCACACTCACTCTTATTAATTAAAATTATTGGAAATCATATAATTAAAGAGAGAAAGTTGTTTAAAAGAAAGTGTTACTAGCATTTTTCTTCAAACATAATATTTATTTATATACATAATTTATTTTAAATTTTAATTATATATTATAATTATTTAACTGTAAAATACATATCTTATAATGCCAATAAAACTTAATATTGAAAGTTTTACTATTTAAAATGTTAAAATCATTTAAAAAAATTATAATTATATTAATTAAATACTGCATAATTTTTTTATATTATAAAAGTATTAATTGAATATCATAATTTTTTTATGATATTTTTTTTAAATTCCTTGAATTTTTAATTCATTATCCTTTCTTAATAAAGGCACATAATTTTGTTTTTATTTTTTTAATTTAGTTTGTATTTTTTATCTATTTTTTTTTATAAATTTACTTTTCAAACTTTCTTGACATGTAAATATTTAATTAAAATCATTCACACATATTTGACGATAATTATTTTTATTATTATTATTTTTTTTTTAAAAAAAAAATATACATAAGGTTATTAATCTAGTCCTTAAAAAAAAATATTTAAACAGTCTTATACTATAAGGTGGCCCGCGCACTTCGTCGCATATGCCGACACTCGTGAACAGTACTAAAAAGTGAAAAGTGACTCTCAACTCTTCAGCCCCAGCGATGTTATATTATAGATGAGTCATCTCATGACCTAACCTCGAAGCTCCTTGCGCCTTCGCATCATCCCCTTCTCCCTCGGTTTTTGTTGCTTGATGCTGTACACGGTGTGCATGTGTTATGTCATATGCAATTCCTCTCGGTAATCTAGTACGTTGTTCTTTCTCTATGCTATTTTAATAGTTGCCATTGCCAGTTAGTAACTCATCTCATCAACATTGTATACCTTCATTTCATTCCTACATAAAGTTCACGGAATCAAGCTTCTTTCATCGTCTTTCTAATCACTGTTAAAAATTCTCATCAACTTATTTCAAATCCATTTTACACTTTATTCTCCCTACCCAAAACCTAAAACGCCATTGTCAACCTCATCTCCCTTATCCTCAAATATAAAAGTTCTCATCATGGGAGTCCCTTCTTCAAACTGACATGAAAGGAGGAATTCATCCTCACATGGGTGCCCATGAAATTTCAACACTCTAGTTTCAATACCAGTCTAATCACTCTTTTCCTCTCAGTTCTTATTTCAATTGGGTGAAAAATTATTTGGGTATCACACTCTCATTGATGATTTATTTACTTTCTTCGTCTTGGTCTCGAGGGTTCTCCTGTGCCCTGAATTCCCTGGATTGATACAACTGGTTGAGGTTGAGGGTGATTCTCCCAATGAGGACATTTATCAGAATTATATATTTAGTTTTTCATTTTTGAATGCTGCAAATTGTATAACCGAATTACCCACCTGTTGTTTAAAAAGGTTCATAGGATGCAATCCAAACCATGCTCTTTCGATTTGTTTGGACTCTATTCTCTTCGAAACCCGACCCAACCTGAGTTGCGTGTATCCCTAATGTCCTTATTAGCTATGGCAGCCATAGCTGTTCGGTTATCATCTCCTAGTCCCCTTTCAAGTTTGGATTCACTATATTAGTATATTAATGAAATCTGTTTGAATAAAATGTAAATTAGGGTGAATATGAATTCCCTTTTTTCATAGCTTTCTCCATGGGTTTATATAGTTGGCCTTACATTCTGTGAGGTTGTTGTTTCTTTTAATGCTTGCTTGTCTTGATTTTTTTATAGGCTTAATTTGGGTTATGTGGTATTGCTGTCCCAAGGTGTGAAGATGTTGCTATTTGGGGCATTAAGGATCTTTAAACTTTGCTCATCATCTTAATATTGTTGTGTTCTAAAAAAAAATAGCTACTTTCCCCAGGATTTAGTTTTTGAAAACTAATTTGCTTTATTTGCTGTGCTTGTTAAAAGTCATTGTTCTCTCTCTCAAACATACTTTATTTTTTGTCAAAATGGTATTTTATCCTACAATTATATTATTTTGTTGGCCTGTTTGTTTGTTCAATATTTTATTAAGAGTTCAGTCTAGCTATTTATCTTAAGTAGAACGGCTGAATGCCTGAAACATGATTATTTAACAGTAGTCTTATAGTCTTTTCAGCCCCTTTATATCAAGATTTTGTTTTAAAAAAGTGAATAGAGGACATAAAGATGCCTGATCTTCCATTTCAAGTTGGGGATTTGGCTGAGTCAAGATCCTTTCAAGTTGGATATCGTGGTGCATGGTTTCGATGCAAGGTATAAATTCTGTCTTCTCTAAATTTGCTTTATTCAGTGTAAACATGCAAAGCATAGGAACCAAAATATGAAGAAAGTGAAAGTTGAAAAAAGGAAACTGTATATTAATTGAGTATTTTGTACATTCACTAATCTCCCTATTTATAGAGTAAATGACTATGCTTAAATATGAAAATAACAATGCTAAGGAAATAAGGAAACAAAATAATAAAGAAATAGGGACATAAATATCTAAAGATATTTAGAGATATTCTAGATCTTCTAAATATCTATGATATTTACAACAGTGACTTTATTTTTGGATTGGCATTGGCTTCTTATGAGATACTTCATCAAATGTGCATTTTATTAAAAACACAACTATGTCACTGAAATTGCGGTGCTTTATATCAGTTTTGTTAAACAGCAGCCATGGCATTTCCATTTTCCTACAAAATACTATATTATGGTTATTGTATTGTGTATTTCTCATGGCAGCTGGTTTTTCCTTATTAGTTATGGCAGTGATAGCAACAATTATGGCGGGGAAAGCAGTACTTACTCTTTCTTATGTAATACAAGAGACTCTGCTTGTTCACACTTCAGAAACTATTCCCTTGCATTGAATGTTTTTAAACATAGTTACTCCTATTGTTTTCTCATCTTTTGCAAACTCAATCCCAAACCCAAGACTTGAATGAGACCCATTTGATTCAACACTTCTACCAAATTTGGTGACAGACACTGCTTTGAACAATTGCTTTGGTTTTCTGTGACCTGTCTATTTTGAGTCTCTCTTTCTTTCATCTTTGTTTCCTTTTCTTTTCCTATCTGTTTTTCTATATTTTGTAAGGGACTCTATACTCCCTTGTTTTGGGTGTCTATCTATTCCTATGTGTTCTAATTCTCATTATTTCTTTGTTCTCTGTTTGGTCCTTTCTGATCTATTATTGGTGGTTCTCAATCCTCTATTTGTTCGCAATGGTTCTCATTCTCATAGTCCAAGGATCATTACAAACCGCTAACAAGGCTTATTCAGAGTGGAAATATTGCCATTCCTTGGAAGAAAATAAAAGGAATACTTTTTGTATGCAATTCATGTGGAAAAATTTAGCTAATGTTATGAGTCAAGTAATTGTATAAGTTGTTGTTAATTGTCTTTGTGATTAGTCTTTTATTAGTTCTTGTACTTAAGCTATTAATGTAGCTCATTAAAAAATTAAATTAATAAAACCTATTAAAAATATTAGTTTCTATAAACTTTAAATACTTGTAGTTTTCTCCATTAATAGGTCTAGGTTTTGACTTAATTAGATTCTAAATAAAGAAAACTATGAATTTAAGTCAGGAACTTATTTCATCTGATTAACGCAGGATCATTTTAAGCGAAAATCTATTTTCATTAATGTTGAAACCCCTTTGAGATCCATTGTGACTTGTATTAAATAAAATTTGTGATTCTCAGACTAATTTCATGCAGACTTCATCACTAATCTGGCAATCTGCCTGTATGTGTCAATTGGTTACACATATGTACTGTTGCTAGTCTTTCTCAAAATAATTTAGTCATGGACTGTGTTGCTGAACTAGTATTTGTCATTTTATTGGACATGTATGTGATAATGTGAATATAAAATTTTTTATTTGGTGTTACTTTGGCCTTAAATTATTTTATATTATTCTTTCAGATTAGAGATATTCGCACAAAAAATGCTGCTGTATCCCATCAATTGGAGTATTTTGACTACCCTGATCAAAGTATGTTTTTGCTGTGATTTAAAATTTCAACTGGAGTTCCATTTGCTTATTTACTGAATGAAGTTATATGAATGTTCTTGTGCAATTAGGTTGATGCAAGCATTTTATTTTCTTGGTTGAGTGTAATATAGTTGGGTCATATTCAATATTTTACATTCCTTCTTTGATGAGGAAGTGCCAAGTTGAGGTTAAACTATCATAAGTTTGACAACCAGAGAGAAAGTCTCTGTGTAGTCAAACCTGGGCTGTTGGTGAAAGCCCTTTGCTGCTAGTCAAGCCTTGTATTTGTTGATGCTGCCATCTGGGTTTTTCTTTGATCCTAGATTCATTTGCATCCTTCTGCTTGCCTATGTAGCATTACATTTCAGTTTCTCATACTCTAATTGCAAGGTTGATTGCCAATTGGGGTCCATAAGGGTTTATTTCCCTGTTTTTGGTTTCAATGAGTTACCAGCAGTATAGGACATAATATCAATTTGTATACTCTAGCAGGTATTCCTAGGGTGAGTGTTTGGTTGCCTAAAATCTAAATACAAGGGCAATTTTGTAGGATTGAATGGGTGTCCTAAGCATTTGAAGATGATGAGGCAAGATGGTTGAGGTAGTGCCTTTTGAGCTGGAGTGGCTAAATGAGAGCAGAGGATGTTGTTGTTAGTGAGGTGTGGGAATTTGTTGGAGGATTGATGTGAGGAGTATAGACTCACTGTAGAGTAGTCAGTGGAATTTATGATTGGGATATGGCATTAGGTCAAGGTGTGAATTGTGATAGGGGTGGGAAAGAGGTTAGGATAAGGGAATTCAATGCTTATTAAAGATAACATCTTTAGACACAAATTATGCCCTAATTCAAGGACTTGTATCTCTGTGACACAGGATGTCCCAAGAAAACACTTCTCTTTAGAGCAATAGAACTGTTTCTCGGAGTTATAGAGTTTGAGAAAAGGAAAACAAGCACAGCTGAAAATTGAGAGATTTGAAATATGGTGTTTGGCTGGACAACATAGTTTAGGGATTATTAAAATCTAAAGCAGCACTGGGAAGCCTGTTTATGATCTCAAAATTTAAAGGGCAAACCTTTTTATATGTCTCTATCCTAAACTGAGCCATTCTGGTGATGTCACTGATGTGCATGAAGGTAAGCGAGTTTGAATAATTCTCAAATCACTACATAAGACCTTGGAGAAAGGTTTGATCTTTAAATCCTGATTTGTTTGGACATGTGAAGAGCGCAATTAAGCTATAGTTTGCCATTGCTGCAAATTGTTGGAAAATAGAGTCCCTGAGTAGCACTTGAGGGGATAAATCCTTGTAAATTTTGAATAAGCATCAAAAAAGGTTAAATAGTATAAATGAGCATGAAAAGTTTCTATAGGTGCAGGACCCACAAGCCACTGAAGTGACTGAACACAAGTTCAAGAGGTTTACAATAAATAATAAAAATAAAGTAAGGTATGCATCTTTGAGCTTTACCCAAACAAGAGGATCAAAACTCACTGATCTTTATTTAGCAGTTGTATATTAAAAAATTTAACAACTTGCCCAAAGCATTATGGCTATAGCAACCACTAGTCTAATCTAATGGTTTCAATTCTGGTCACATGTGCAAACACTTCATTATAATCCAAACCAGCCTTTTGCAAAAACCCCTTTGTAACCAGCCTAGCCTTGTATTTGCAACTTCTCCAGTTGGTTTTACCTTCTCTTTATATACCCATGTCACTCCAATAGGCCTTTTGTTGTGAGGCAATGTGGCCAGCTGCCACGTGTGGTTTTTCTCTATATCACTCAACACTTCCTCCATTGTTGGCTTTCATTCAGGCTCCTCAATTGCTTGCTCAAAAGACACTGGTTCCGTTTTAGCTAAAAAAGCTAAATGCATCATTCCCCCTTCTTTAGTCACTGCAAAGACAGGAATAGATATATAGTCTCCAAATGTATGAGGTGGTTGTCTAGTTCTTTGAGGTGTAAGTGGCTGAATTTGAACTGTTTCTTTCTGCACAATTTTCAGATTGCATATCAAGCTGAATTGGTACAATCACTTTCAGTTGTAGTCTCCCAATTCCAACCCTTGCTCCCATCAACTATAACATCTCTACTTAGCACTATCCTTGTATGCACCAGTTGAATGGTATCCTAGAAACACCATTTGCTCTTCCTTATTATCTAGCTTTTTCCTTGTTTCATCTGGTACATGTCTAAAACAAAGGGAACCAAATACTCAAAGACGACTTATTGCAGGTTTTCTTCCTGACCGTGCATCCTCAGGAGTCACATCATGTAGACTTTTTTGTTGGACATCTATTTAGAATGTAGGTTGCTATTGATACAACTTCTCCCCAAAGCTGTTTTGGCATATTACATTTCAACATACATCTAGCCATGTTTATCATTGTTCTATTGCTCCTTTCAGCCTTATCATTATGTTGTGGAGTATGTGGAGCAGTAACTTCATGAACTATTCCTTCCTTATCACAATAGCAGTGTCCAAATACTTGTAACAGATTCAGCACAATCTGATGTTGTCACCATGAGAATGACATGATCTGAATCTGAATTATCACCATTGCCTTGTGTAATTTGAGCTTCATCCTCATTAAATTGCTTTCATTTATTACTTTAGCATTTATCTGCAAAGGGACCCCATTTTTGACAAGCATAAAATTGCATATTCCTCTTTATTAAATTTCCTCTGCCCGTCTGTTCTGATCACCTCCCTTGCCAAATTTTCCATGATCTCCATTCTTTTTTGTGGTTGTCAGTTGTCACCACCATAATTCTGATTTGAGACCTTGCTTGGCCCTTCACCAAAATCTTTTGATTCGTTCAATTTTCCCCTCTCGCTTTTGTTGCCTCCACCATCATTTTTCCTAGAGGTTTGTGCATGCAAAGCATGAACAACAACTTTCTCACTGCTTCTCTGAAGAAGTCTTTGCTCATGAGGTTCAAAAGAATCCTGAAGTTCCTCCACCCTCATCTTTTCAAGATCCTTTGATTCCTCCATTGCCATGACAATGTGGTCAAATTGGGGGCTCAATCTAATCAAAACCTTGTCCACTATTTGCTGATCAGGAAACTTCTCTCCGCAAGCCTTGATTGAGTTGACCAGTGCTTGAATACTTGTAAAGTAATCCCCTATTGATTTTTGATAATTCATCCATAGCAACTCATTGTTTATGAAGGGATTGAAGCTTCACTTTCTTGATTTTATCAGCACCTCCATATGACTTATTCAAAATATCTCAGGCCTCCTTAGCTAAATTGATTGGAGCTATCTTCTCAAATTTGGCAGAATCCACATACTAATGGATCAGAAAGATAGTTTTGCTGTCTTTCTTGTTGGATTCCCTATATAAGCTGCCCTCTGCACCTCTATAACACCTTCCTCCAATTCTTGAATGTCATTCTTTACAATTTCCAGAACTTTTTGAAAACCAAAGATGACACCCATCTTGATACACCATTGCTCAATGTTCTTGCCATCAAGAACAGGTTTGGTAGGGAAA